AAAAATCTAGAGGACAGCCCGATTGCCGGGCGATGCTCAGAGAATATGGTGGGGACGGCACATGACGTTATTTGGTTTAAGGATTGTGATTTAAACTCAAACTGTTTTATCTATCTATTAACCATTGTACCATGTTACCTAAAATGATGATACACTAAACTCGAATATTAGATTTCTGGCCCATAGGCGACATCCCCAGGTACATTATAATTAATACAATGTTGTCGGGAAAAACTACATTTTCTGACAAGTATGAACTTTGGGTATGGTGTACGTGTTCTGCAGACTCCAAGCTACAAAACCATCAAAACTTTAGCTTAAGCAAAACAGTAGGGAAAAGTTATGCATTGATTTGTGCACAAGTGTCGAAATCCTATATTATGTTAAATCTCATTTAAACTTCAACAATTTCTTATTAAACCCTTTGAGATAACGAGTGGTCCATGATAAAACAATCACCCAGTATATATTTATGTATATAATATATAAAATAATCGTGTTATTTATCGTTTATTTAAAAAACAATAACAGTTTGATTTTTAACAATAATTTTGCCGTTTGGTCGTCAAGGCAATTTTTGTCTTGGACCTAGTAAACAACACGATATTCTTCGCATTTTGATCTTGACAGCCCGGATGAACACTCTGAATTATTCTAACCAACCCCTGTTAACATCAAAAAGCTCATTTCGATAATCATATCAAAATTATAGTTACTTATTCTTGTTATTTACACATTTTTTGCATAATTATTTTCAGTTTTTCTACATTCTATTTATTTGTTTTGTTTAACTTTTCACACGTTTTTTATTTGTGTAAATTGTTATTTTGTTTATTTCATTGTTTTTTGATACATATTTATTATTTTTTTGACATTTTTCATACGGCGTTTCCCAATCACAGGTAAGTTCCTATACATAAGACGATGTTATAAACTACTATATTCTCAATTAATACAATTGTGTCTACATACTTTTTTTTCACATCTCGTTACGTTTACTAGGTAATTGTTATGAATTATGATACACATAATATATTATATGATTGGTTGAGTTCGTACGAAGGGTTAGTTGTATAGGATGTACTTATTTAATAAAACTCTAACAGTGGTCATAGAACCTTAAGGGTTTCGTTAATATGTATTACTGAAGGAATTTTGAAAAAGAAATGCTGATAATTGTAACTTACCAAAACCAATTTAATAAACTAAAAAACTAATAATTTTAACGTATAAGAATTGTACATTTTTTTTTAAAGATAAAATATGTTTATATAGTATTCTTAGAGTTGTCTCAAATCGAAGCCACGCGACTTGCGTTCGGAGCTTATTTTTTAAACACAGTATTTTAATTATATTATCATAGGACTAAGTTAGAAAATATTGTCACTTTTTAGCTAAAATGGCACCGTTAGAAAGGGACCCTCCGAAATATTTATTTAACCACACCAAAGACATCAATGACGACTTTTTGACAGACGACGAAGAAGAGCTATTTCCAGAACGATTCACATACAAGTACTAACGCTTGACAAAATAGTAGCTGACTAGTCGAGTTTAACAACAGCTAGTGTTAATAATACAATTGTTTTTTATGTATAATTCGTTTTAGCGACATAGACACGGACGAAGATATTGACATAGACACAGACCAAGAGATTGACTCAGACACAGACGACATATTAAATAACATTATACCTGAGATAGTATTGGAAAACATTAGACAATGGCATACTAATAGCCCTATTCCCCTGCTTGACACGGACGAAGACAGAGAGACAGAGGACAGCGATGACGAGTCGAGACAGACAGTCGAGACAGCAGTAAACAAGTACATACGCTTGACAAAATAGTAGCTGACTAGGTCGAGTTTAACAACAGCTGGTGTTAATATTACAATTGTTTTTTACGTATAATTCGTTGTAGCGACATAAACACGGACGAAGTGATTGACATAGACCCAGACGAAGAGATCGACATAAACAGAGACGCCATATTAAATAACATTATACCTGAAATATTAATGGAAGTGATTAGACAACGGCATACAAACTCTAGTAGCGCTGTTCCTCCGCCTGCCACGAACGAAGGCAGAGAGACAGAGGACAGCGATGACGAGTCAAGACAGACACTCGAGACAGCAGTAAACAAGTACATACGCTTGACAAAAAATAGTAGCTGACTAGGTCGAGTTTAACAACAGCTGGTGTTAATAGTACAATTGTTTTTTTTATGTATAATTCGTTTTAGCGACATAGACACGGACGAAGTGATTGACATAGACCCAGACGAAGAGATCGACATATTAAGTAACAATATACCTGAAATAGTATTGGAAGTTATTAGGCAATGGCATGAATACTCGAATAGCGCTATTACCCCGCCCGTCACGACCGAAGACAGAGAGACAGAGGACAGCGATGACGAGCCAGACTCAGACGACCCGCAGCCGTGCTCATCATCAGGTCTGAAAAGACCACATTCAGACTCTGATGATGAGCAACCCCTGCCAACAAAGCGAAGACGGCCAACGTCGTGCTAGTCAAACATGCCGGAAAGCGATGAAAGCGACCACTCGGACGACAACCTTGTACAGTACTCCAGCCGATAAACCGTGGCCGGCAAGTCGGTGAAGCCGTTGGCCAAGACGTGTGTTGTAGTAGCGCGAAATGCTGCAGCCACTGTCTCCGTCCAATCGCAGCCCGAACTTGTGCGGCCGGCCTGTTGAGGAAGATGTCAAGTAGTACTCCGGACGACCAGAGGAACGATGGGAAATTTCGGGAACGATGGTACCTGTCAAACTTGATGTCAGAAAACGAGGAACGATGGGAAATTTCGGGAACGATGGTACAAGCCAGTAGCGCGAGATGCTGGCCCACCGTGTCCCATACAAAAAAAAAGTGTTTTTATTTTAATGATAAACAAATATATATATTTTTTGTACATATAAATTCGTTTATTAGTACACTAAAAAATTGCTCACCTGCTTTGTCTCACTAAATATTATTACATTTTAATAATATTAGTCAATTAGATTACTAAAGACACACATAACTTCTGTGTCTGAATTTAAAGAGAGGAAAGTAGAATCAACTAGACAATAAAAAAATTAAAAAACCAGACAATGAACTTATGTTCAGCAACTTGGAAACGATGGTACCAGCGCAAGCCGGATAGGTGACAATATATGTATATATTTTTTTTTAAACTTAAATTCGTTTTTTGGTACACTAAAAAATCGTTTTGTTTTTACATTGCTTACCTGCTTTGTCGCGCTAAATATTATTAATAATATTATAATGCTACTCAATTAGATTACTCGAAGACACGCAAAACTTCTGTGTCTGACTTTAAATTAATTGGGAATTTCGAAAAGGGCTCATATCGGAAAATAACAATTTTTCAGGAAACTCAAAAAACTGATTTTCTTTTTAATTTTGTTTTATATTGTACCAATTTTTTTTCTAAAATTACACACTATTATTTAATGTTACGCCCATGTAATATTATATTCTTGAGGTGAAATTTTATTGGAAATTGATTCATTAAGTTTTCGAGATGAGTCGAAATTTGTTCGAGGACTATAGTGATTTAAAATCGAAAATACCCACGTTATTGACATACAATTATACAAAAAATATTTCTTACACATGTCCTTTTATTTTTATGAATTTTATACATAAACAGAAAATATAATAAGTAGAAAACTATCTCCTCAACATGAAAAAAAAAAAAATAATAAAGTTTTCATGTACTTTAAAATTCTTCTTCGACGTTCTAGCTGTGATGATACATCTGTCGGCCACTGCAGAATGCTTTCATAGAAATTTATGTTATCTTCTGGTATGCATTGCTTTAACTTCTGTAGATCGTTCATTTTTAATACATTAATCGGAAGTTTAGAGGAGTTGCAAGGAAATGCTTCAATAGTAGGGATGCTTGCACAACTACCTTTTGTTTTTGATAGGATAAAAGTTTCATTACTTATTTCACTGTCAATGAAGGGACGACACAAGACTTCACATATTTGACCGAATAAAAATTCGGTCAAATATGAATTCAAAAGAAGTCGACACTTGAAATGAAACTTTATCCTTTTTGTCCACTTTTTTCCCGTAACATCTTTCCGACAGTGGCTTGGGCTTTAAAATTAACTTTACACCATGATTTGTCATAGTCTACAACGTCAGAATATTGTATTGTTTCGACACTAGACTTCTTGCTCGTAGGTAGATACTGCTTAATATTAAATCTACATATTGTCGATGAGTGAACAACCGATCTTCTCTTTTAATTTTAAGAAAACAGATTTGGGCCCTATTCGCTCATAAAATATCGGTCTATATGTGTTTGATCAAAACTCGAGGTGGGCCCTATTTTCAATTGAATTTCAGAACAAGATAATAATAATAATAAATGTATCATAATATGTTCATTAAATATTATTATTATTCAATATATTATGTATATTTGTATATATATATATTTTATGTATATTATATAATTTATATATACTATATTATTATTATTATCCCAATACCCAAATTATATTTGCAGATTTACAAGACATTTACAAAAGTAATAATAATAATAAACAATATTTTTTTTATACACATTGGTAAATTTTAAAATGGTAAATAAAAAAAAAAAAAAATGAAAATAATAATATTATAATATTAATAAATTAAAAAAAACCTATTTTATAATATGTTTTCGTAACGACGATGATAATAATTAAAAAATAATGCGTTTTCTTTGGTATTTACAAAAATTATTATTTTTATTATTATAATATATTATGTCATTTTGCCCGTAAGGCAAAATAGAAAAGAAAAAGATCTTGTTAGTCAACGTTTGGAAATGGGATTTAAATTTTTCTTGTAATACAATATTGTTTTCTTCTTTACATAATAATATTATGATATATTATAATAAAAAATTTAATGTATTTTTTTTTGTACACTACAATCTCAATCTCGTACGTATTTCGATAAGACTATATATTTTCTTTTTTTTTTTAAAAAGCGTCAAACAATATTTTATCGGACATAAAACTTATGGTTTAATGTAGTTAACGTGATACCGTTAACGCGCTTTGTTCGTCGATCGAGTGTATAGTGTACAAGATAGATAAAAAAAAATAAAACAATCAACTAAAATTAGTAAAATTACATTTAATAATATTACTTATATTATAATTATATAAGAATAATATATTATAATATATGTATATTTTTATTTTGTCTTTTAAAGTTAAAAAAAAAAAATAATAATAATAATGAATAACAAGAAACATGTTTTGGGTAACAAAAACATTAAGAAGAGAGAAAAATTATGCAATAAGTAAATCTAATAATGTGGTTAAGGCGATTAATATGAAAATACGCACTCGCTGTCGATCATGTCAAACATCGTAACAGCGATAATTCCATATATATCTACATAATAATATAATATATTATACATAATATTAAGTACTGCAGTATTAAATACAAAATATTTATATAAATATATTTGATGTGATTAATATAATGTATATATATATAAATATATATGTATATAATACTAATAATATTAAACATATTTAAAAAAATAATATAATATAATAACAAAAAAAATTGTGCGCCCATTAAAATCGTTTGGCGTTTTAAATATTTCGAACAATATATATATTATATAATATAATATAAAAAAAAAAAAAAAAAAATGATCAAGCGTTTATGATGATGATGATAACAAATAAAATGTGTTTTTTTATGAAAAATATACTTGGGACTAGTCGTTTAAATAACTGGTTCACCGGTGAAAATTGTTTTTTTTTTTTTTTTTTTTTTAACAGTTAATAACAATTATTGCCATTTTGTTTGTGTGTGTGTACATTATTTTCTTCTTTTTCAAAAATCCTGGTCGGTGTCCATTACTTCATGCGGTTCACTATGAGGTCCGGAACGACCAACAGGGACTTTTGATACGGCGACTCGGCTATCTTGCCGGCCAACCGCGTTGCTTCCAGGCAATGTTTTTTGGCAAGGAACCGCGTCTGCTCCAGACCCTGTGACTTGTGCACCAGCTCGAAAGCGCGTTCGGCGTCGCCCGGCTCTTGGAACCGCCTCATGATCATGGCGTTCAGCTCTGGATACTGTCAAGTGTCATGAAAAACACACAAAAAACACACAATAATTATTAGGACGGCTAAAAAAGCGACATATGCATGGTACAAGTGTTGATAAACAACAAGTGCGATTTATTGATTTAGCCAACCCTAACACTAACCTAACATATCTCCTACCCCCAGTTATGGAATCATCAGACTGTTCTCCCTTCAGACAAGCCCGATTGGACTTGCTACTCGACGACCTCCTCCTAACTGATTTTACCTACGCGGTAAGAATTAATAATATTTGCTGTGATCTTCACTTTAAGGATGTTGTTCTAATCAAAGGCCAAAAGCAACAAAATTCTGAAACATGTTGCATGTTATTTCATGAAAAGCGATCAAATGAAATTAAAAGTGGCCGAAATACATTTGGAGGGACACATTGTCTCGCGAGACGAGAAGATTTGTATGTTTCGGCGTTCTATAAAATATCGTTGGGTTAATCGAAACCTAGTTTATGACTCGAGTGATTTTTTTGAACTTTTTTAATTATTATTTTTATTTTTGTGAGAAATTTTGAGAAAAAAAATCTAACTTGGCATGCTTAACCCGACTTGTATGAATAAAAAAACAAATATATAATAAAAAATATTTATATATTTTTTTATTTATTTACGATACAAGAGTGTTTGCCATTTCGAAATGTTGATACCTTCAGTTGGGCTTTATCTAGAAGTAAATATGTGATTTATGGAATGTATTCTTATCACTTCTTCCTGATCATATCAGCAGTATCAACTGATTTCTCCTTATCGATAAACAGCATGTTATCAGTCGACTTCTATCATTTTTATCACTGTCATATCTGTTATCATCAGATTTCATCAATATTTTCGTGGCGCAACAACGTTTGGGCACATTTTTTTGTGTTACTCCCAGCCCCCCCAAAAAAAAAGAATAATCGTTTCATTAAATCTTAAGAAATCCTCAGTACGACTGAAACCTGCGATCATCAATAATGCACTTGCACGGGGAACAAAACGGTGTTTACCTTTTCGCATGCGAACAATACAGGAGCGGTGGCCAGGCCTAACTTCAGATCGGCGGCCGTCGGTTTGCCCATTGCGTCTTTGCTGGAAACAAAGTCCAACAGATCGTCGACCAGCTGGAACGCAAGTCCTATGTTGCGACCGTACTCGAATGACACATCCACTAATTTGTCGTCGGCACCGGCTAACATTGCTTCCTGCAAACAACATTTATGTTGATTAGTTTAAAGATTAGATTAGGTGGGTTGACAAAGTCCTACACCCGTCCACTTCCACGAGATGCTAGCAGGAAACGGCCCTTAAACGGGTCGCGAACGACTGGGAAGGTGACTTAGAGCCGGTTAGTGGGGGGGGGGGGGGGGGTAGGTACAAAACGTGGTTAGAATTAGACTCACGAGTAGGTGGAGAAGCAAAAGAAAATAATAAAAATAAGGAAGACAAACCATCCAAGTAAGTGTGGAGGAAGTAATGCAAAGACAGTTCCCTCCACGGGTGGGACGATTAAAAACTTAGGTTAAGTTTGTGCAAAAACATAAGGATCACATGCAACAGATACTTGACGAATTAAATTCCATATTTTACTACTACGCTGCACACGCAGTGTTGTGATAGTGAAAAAAAGTAGGTATAGTGTAATTTGTTTGTTTGTCCCATTTTAAGCGGCTCTTCGAGGTGCAACCAGACGTGAAACAAAAATAGAAATCACGTTCACAAAAGAGAAGCAAAAATCAGCACACAATTAACGTAACGATGCCAAAACCAAATAACAACACGAAATAGCCACGTTATTAAAAAAAAAAAAAAAGCGAACAGACTCAAATGACTCGCGCTATGATCTACGTTTAATCCGAGCCGAGTCGGCGTTTAATATAGAAATTACATTAATTAAGGCCAAGTGCCACTGCACCTGCGGCGGGTATCCGTAATCGGTCGTCAAGCCTAGGTGGATCCTCCATGCGATACTAATTAAATGTTTTTTTACTAATTAATTTCATTTAATCCGCCACACACGAAAACGATGCACCTAAATTAATGGTCGTTTTTTAGACGGCACGAACAATATGTCGATAATATTATTACATGTAGTAATATATACTTTCTCTCGCGTGAAAACGTTTATATATATATATATGTACGCCGTTTAAAATAAAATTGTACGATTCGATTGGGACTCGATGACGAAATAATCATAAAAAAAATTCGTACAAAAAAATATGGTCGAGTATATACAGGGAAAAAAATGATTTATGAGTTACCAAAATACATGTCTTATGGTGGAGGGGGAGGGGAGATTTTAGGCGCTGAAACCGAAAATTTGCCTTCAACATTTTTCTAGCACTTCTTGTTAACTGTAACGTGAGCCACACACTGGACGAGGAAGAGTTAACAGGGTGAAGTCAGTGATTTAACACAATATTTTTTTGATAAATCCTCCAAAATTACAAAAAATTAAGTACCTTACAGGTACCATTGCTGATCTATAAAGAGTTGCTACTCGAAGAAACCGGTCCAGTGGACTTAGAAGATATTAGAAGTGACAAAAAAAAAAAAATTGAAAATGCATCATTGTAAAAACAACACCTTCTCAGCTATGCATCGAAGCTAAAACATTGATATTTTGAATAACTGTTTAAAATGTACTTAAAATAGACCTAGTTTTTTTTTTCTATTTATTTTTGCTGCATATAGAACAAATTAAATGTAAAATCGTACACACATATATATATATATATATATTATATTTAGTGGAAAAAATTCTACTTACGGCTTTTACAGAGTTGGCTATGAGACTGGCTGTCTTACGGTACGTTTTCGTTAGGTAATGGGCAAACCTTTCGTTCTCGGTTTCTTTGGAACCGAGCTGCATAAACTCGCCTTGCACCAAATCCGTGATGATCTGTCGACGACGACGATTATTATATTTTTAGTACGCTCTATTGATTTCGACAAAATGCAACAACTTACTTGGCTAAGGGTGATGGTCACGTCGTTGTGGCTGAGTCTGGCGATCATCATGGACGTGACGGCTAATATGTAATCGCCGGCCATGGCTACCTGAATAATAGAAGAAAAAAAACCCACACAATTAATAATATTGTATTCGAATCGACGTTTAAATAGTCAACGGTAAACAAATACAATTCTTGGCGTTTCTTCCTCGTTGTCACAGGTTATAATTATTATGTGTTTTGTTTGATTTAGCAATTGTCGCTGTACATTACAAGCACCAAACGGTAACCTTAGAAAAATAATTATGTGTTAATAATGTTATTAATTTCAGACGACGGCCATTGGAACGTTTTTGGCGCTGTTTGTCCGGACGGGCGGTCGTTCGGGGGTTTGTCAAAGTCACACAAATCAAATATGTACACAAGAAGGTTATACATCTTGTTATTGTAAAGGAATTTTCGTTTAGAAACGCACCGTTTCTTCAAAGTAATTATTGCCGCCTGAGTAATTTGCGGATGTCCGATAGTTCTCTATCTTATGACACACGTGTTATTGCACACCGTTTTGTTATTTACTTATAATGTGGTTTTTTTGCACCACGTTTAATTGCTAAGGAAACATCAACAGCGGTAAAATAAAAAAGAAACTCAATTGCAAAAAATTCAAGAATAGCCACAAACGCTTTGTCTAGTTCTTCAGCGATGGCATTTACAAGACTCTAATGGGTTACTTTATTTACGGACTCGAGGGTTTCGACAAAAGTAATAGACTTCTTAGGAGAGTTTTTATTTGCAAGCGAGAACGAAGCTTGGAATAGCTTAATGGACTAAATGACCGACAAACGAGAACAAATTCCCGTTTTTTGTATTTTTCCATAAAAATCTTGTAGATTGAGTAATCGAAAATGTATAAACGCTTGAGTACAGATTGAGGGGGTTTCTCCGGTTACTGTGAACATTTGGACTGTGAATAATAAACAAAAAAGAATTCTCATTGCTGTGTAATAAGTATACACTATTGTTTAATCTCTAAATTAAAATTGTTTGTTTTCTGAAGGAAGAAACGACAACACTGACGATGGTCGTTGAGTTTTAATTGTACTAAATTTGACGGTTAAAGTTTTTGCTTTTCAAATGAACTTTTTCAGCAATTATCGTTGACTGCTATCGAATTATTTCTCTGTTGATATTGTTCGCACAACTCATGTGCGTTCTCCAAAAGAGAAGCAGCAGACTTAAGACACACACAGCATATGTCATTCGGCGTTTGGTACATAATATCATAATGTTAGTAGCAATAACGGCAGTAATACCAGTTTACCGAAATGTAATAGCTACATAGAAATTGATATATAATTAGAACAATTTAAAAAAACTAAAATTTGGAACTAGTTCCACGTTTAACAATGGAATTAGCGACTGAAACGAGTTTTCTTTTTTTTTTTTTCGAGGAACTTTCCCAACATTGGACAATTATAATTTTGTAATTGTCCTATACGATCAATAATAATAATAATCGTAAATGCATTCTGGTAAGTTATTTACCTTAGACCATCTTCTAGACCAGCTAGGTTAGCTAGCTTGTGTTTACTAGTCGACGGATTAGTCTTTGAAACGTCACCGGGCCGTTTCACAACCGGCGGCTTTGACGGGGCCAAGAACAGGCAGGAGAGAAGAGTTAACATAGCATTATTATAATGAGAAGGCGTGCGCGTCAAAACGGGATAGAATTTCGTCAATGGCCGAGGAATTGGCCGTACTGGCACACAACAACAGATCGATTATTATATTATATTATTATTAACGACCTTATGGTATGCGAAGACGTTACGAACGGTCGGATTTCGATAATAGACTTTCACTGGTCATTATAATATGTCCGAATATAATTACTATGTATTACAGTATCGTATAACATGCGTTTTTATCAATATTATACAGTTATTTATTTATTTATTTTTTTTTTTTAAGGAGTGGACCAAAAAAACAAAAAAACTAAAACCGAGATGATCGTCGGGGCAATACGAGTTGCCTAACCGATGCGCCCGGTTACGCTTGCCGGTGTCCCTTGACCGAATAAAAAAATATCCGACGGAAATAATATAATAATTAGCAACCGTCGGCGATTTTGCATACAGTTTATGCAAACGTGTATAGCAGTCGAAAGATTCGAACACACTTAAACGTCACACGAGGTCTAATAGGCACGCGAGAAATTTGGGGAAAAGAAACATTTATTGTGCTGAGGCCGCATACCTCTTAGTGGTAAGGTCACAATGAGAGTTCACTAGTATGCGCCACCCTCGACAAAACTGGAATTACCAGGCGGTGAAAAGATAAAGAAACACAAACAGAATTACATAGAAGCGGCGAGCGGCTGTCCGGAGACTTTAACGAACCTACGCGGCGGGTCTATTAATAATACGTTATCCGAATCCATAGTAAAAATAACATTAAAAATCAGGCGATAATTTATTCAAACGAGTTTCAAACAAAACATATACCTTTACATTAACATCCTCGTTCGTCGACGATTAGGTAACGCCGCGACGATTTCATTATCTCGGTCGTTTTTCATGTAGTTGTATAATAAATTCGGTTGTCTTAATATTTTTTTTTTACCCAACACCCGGCACACGGTTCGAAGGTAGCAATTATAGATTTTATTTTCTAAACGATCGTCCGGTCGAATCGAATAGTTTACGGATTGAGCTGATTTGAAATTGAGAAATAAAAAGTATTTTTTGTACATATTTTTGGGCCCAGGAAGAAATACCGGGTACATTTTGTCCGACTTTGAAAAGAAGATTAACCCCCTTTGGATATGGCTTGTGATGTTGACGGATCAAAGAAAAATATCTTATTATTTCATAGGTATTGTCGACCGTGCTCTGCGTACTTGACTCGTCCCTTATACACACGTTTGGTGAATCGGTTCTCGTCTAATATATTTTTAAAATACATATATCTAATAATAATGGATCTGTGAACTTTGTTACTGGACGGCCTCCAAACTGACATGAACAGCGGCATCGGTGTACAGTGTAACACTACTAGCTCGGCCACAAAGTAATAACACTATGATGTGTACTGTATTTGGTTTTACACTTTCACGGTGCAAACGAATATATAAACAGTGGTACGGGCATCGTTTGAGGAGTTGTGTGTTTCTTATAAGGTCATAAGAAGTCACACACGACCGGCGGTATAGCGTACACTGCGCCGACCTCTACCTAGAATTCGCAAATCGGGACGTTTTCTTTTTCAAAAGATCATTACCGCGGTAGTAGCGTTATTTTTTTTTTTTTTTGCGAAGGTTGTACTTAGCTGTAAAACATAATATACCTATACTTTATGGACTCGGCGCGCCGAAAACGGGTCGGCGGCAAACGTGAACGGATAAATATATATATAAATAATATTCTTAACAACAATATGTCTTCAGGGTAAATCGGCCCTCGGCTCACGGCGAACATCCGTCATCCGGCTGACCCGATTATGATGATGATGATGATGATGATGATGATGATGCTGATAGATATATATAAATTAACACTTATATTCTATTAAACGTGTCTCGATCGCGGTTTCCGACGGGTTTTCGATATGTGCGGGGCGTTTGCCAACGCAGATAATCGATTTGTCCACCGGAGGAGCTTTGTGTCTGACACAGTTTCGTATAAAAAAAAAAATTAAATAAAAAAACCTTGGATATCCTCAGTCGCCACACACACACGCCAATGATAGACGGCGGCGTTTGGTTCACTTTCGCCGCGTGCTACGACCAAGTCGTCGTCGCCATATACATTATAATATGTATATACAACATAAGTATAATGTGTACAAGACCTCTGCGTAGAGCCGTCATGACTGTAATATAGTTTCGCAAACGGACATCGGCATCATCCGTGAATATTGTGTGGTGCAGAGACTTGGGTACAAATCATATACAGACGGACAGACGGACCGGAGAAGAGACTGTTTGTGCGTTGCGCAACGGCTTAAAACGTTTTGTAAACACGAACTTCACTTTACACGACAAAGTGTACGCTTACGTGTGCTTATAAATAAATGTATAATAATATATAGGTATGCACACACATGGGTGGTACACGGGAATAATAATTAATGGGCGGCATAATATTATTACGTCGTCGGCCCCGGTCCAAGGTCGGACGGATTTTCGAAGATAGAAGAAAGAAGAATCCTTAAAATAATAACTCGCCGGGCCCGAGGGGGAGGTGCGTTGGCCGGGATAATAATATTTTATTGATAATAATAATAATGCCGATTACATCACACGCCAGCGCGGACCGCATTCCGCGGTAGGTGGTATATATGATCACTTTTACATAGAATTACCTATAGTGGTGGTACGCGCTCGTTCGGAGAGAGAGAGATTCGAGAATGGTCGAAACTAGAAAGGTGTGTCCGGGGCAGCAAAAGGATGACCGGCTCAAGTAGTCGAAGACCTCAGTAGCAGCAGCCTCGTGCCCGGTCAAGGACACGGCGGCGGTAGTCGAGGGAGTCGCACCAGCGCGTGGTCGAACGTTCACCCGGGCGCGGGGTCGGCCGGAGGCGAACGACCGGCGAAGAGCGCACACGATCGTGAACCCCCCCAAAACAAATATTCTTTCTAAAATCAAACATTACCAGAGAGAGAGAGAGAGAGAGGTATAAACACATAGAACCATCTCGGCCGAGGTCGAGGGAGGGTCTTCCTCCGTCCTGATCTGACGCTGAAGGATTTTTTAGTCTCAGGGGTATAAATCATGGGGAATCAGAGTTAACCAATCTAAATCCACTCAAACCACAATCTCTTTCCGTCTAAACCCTTACCCTGCAATATCATTAAACGGAATCAATAAAATCCACCACGGACAACGCTGTGTAGTACTTAAGAATGACACTTAACCTCAGATACCGGCAACCGTTTCATCTCCACGATAACCAACCGAGACAGTCACAAAAATCCACTCATTCCGAATCTCCACAACAAATACATCCCTCCACATCATGTACCTACTTTTTGTTAAAATTGCAACAGATCGTATAAATATTTATACATATATATATTTAAATAATGTTTTTGTCTTTCGGTCAGAG